CAGAGATAGGCCGACTGAATTAGAACCTGTGAAACCAAATTGGGATGGTGTGGACGGGTAAGGGGGTGGACGGTTGGGGGAATGCAGCTGATCTGTCACGCTGTGTGACGAAACGGTCAATCACAGTAATTGGACAACTATAAAGGGAAAGGATAACGAACCACAATTGATACGACTGAATCAATGAACAAATGATCGCAGACATTATCATCAGTTTTGAGATTAAGAGAGAAATCAAATGTGATTTATGAGGAACAGGGGTTTCGAAAAAGAGTAATGGAAACCAATTATGTGGTCAGTGTAAGATTGTACATATTGAGACAGATCCATCGAAAAACGATAAAGACAAAAAAACGATTAAATGAAAAGTTCTCTGGGTTTTTAAACCATTAGCCTCGCCGCTGGAAATAGACGGCACGCAGCATCCCCGCGGAGTAGTTGAAAAAATAAGACAAATCGAGGCGACCAAACAGACCATATAACCAATTTTCGACGGAATGATTCAAATAAATGAATAAAAAATTCAGAGTGGAATCACGCGAAAATAGACGAGTGTGCGGTTCAGGTGTGTGTTTATCGATTTGCACACGCATTGTCCCGGATAACTGACAGGTGTGCGTGTGTGTGTGTGAATTGTGCCGGCTTTGCTGGATTATAGAGCTAGTATTAAAAAAACTGCACGCGATCCCCGGCAAGACCGAATTGCGCTAATTGAAATAGCCCACAGATTGGTCTTATTCGATGGGATATTACAATCGAATATGACGGAAGATACGATAAAAAATATCCTTCAAAATAAGCTTTTCACGAGTACGTCGGCGTAAAGTGGACCGGTTCAAACGACACGACGTGGCAAACATTATAATCCGAAGGTGAATCTCCGTGTAGGAATCAGTATCGATTGAAGACGAGTTAGGGCACCCAGTAACCATGTACCACGTAAGTATTTCCAATGGTACAGACAGCTAACTCCGGAATTATGGAATATTGTGCAAAGTACTAACCAATTTCCATCAGGAGAAGCGTTATCCGCAAAATGCTTACCTGCATTTTCTCAATTTGTGTACAACGGATAACCAATATGACTGTGGGACGCTGATTGACAGTTAACCTAAATTCTCAGTTTTGTTCGCTTAAAAAGTGTGTCAGAAGAAGAATTATCCTACATTGTCGAACACAAGCCACTGAATTTCGAAAACGAATAATGATGGTAACTATATAATAATAATAATAATTATTATTATTATTATTATTAACACAACCGCCGCATGTAACGGTAATGGTGACGATCGTATGAACTGAACTGATCAATACTATAACATATAATAATAATTATGCGCGGTATTCTGAAATAAGGTACATTACGTGTCCCAGACAATTATCCGCACAGTTAAATCAAGATGATATTGTGTCAAATCATATTACGATTGTCTATTAAGCCCCGGTTTCAATCACAGCACCATGAAAAATTTGATGTCAGAAACATGCTACTGAAAATTAGTCAGTAGGAAGAGCCCATCACGTTATTTATAGTGACAGTACGACGATAGTACACGAAAAAATAAACTCCGTCAGGTCGACCCAACCGTATTCGAACGAATAAATGAAATACGTGTGAGTCTCAACGAAACTGGTTATGATTCTCCTACACGTTTTCCGATGACTTCAGTTATCTAACAGGAGAGATTGAACAACCGAATAAAATTTAGTTGGTTGGCAGGTGAGATTCACTGGAGCTTGAGTTAATGAAGTCGGAAATCGAGGTTTTGCTCATAGGGAGCACGACAGAGAACCACAACAACGTGGAATAAAAACAGATGATATATTGTTCCCGGTTCCCACAAAAAGCATAAGATAATCGTCAAAAATACTAGTCTGGGTGTTTTTCCATGGAATCGGATCGGAACAACGGATATTCATTAAGACCATCATCATTATCNNGTAAGTCGGGGACGAAGTGTGTGTGGAGGGGGGGGGGAGGACACTCAGGTTTGACGCAGCATCGGGATTTAGTGAACATGCTTGAGACGCGTAACCCTCGTTGGACGGAATTTTAGTTCGACGGATTAGATAAAAATTCGCACTGAATGGCGATAAAGTGCACACTTCAATATAGTATTAACGGACCATGTTATAGAACCACTGTTAGAACACTCAACGATACCAAAACGATGTGAATCGGGACTAGAGGCTTCACGTAATTCTCCAGTTTACCGATAAGATGTGCCTTTTTTTCTGAGTCTGTCCGACACAAAGCGGTAGTGGGAGAGAGACATGGAAATCAAGATCGAGACAGCATTGCACATGTACAACAGCCAAAAGAACTTACTCATCCGCAAAACGACAATCGGAAACATCGGCAAAAATGGCAGTTTTAAGTTTAGCCCGTTTGGCTTTGTCAAAAGTGAGAATCAAATATCCTTCCGGGGCGAATTCCTCGGATGAGGCGGACGGGGGACAGGAGGAGGAACTGCAATCGGTTGACTCCGGAACTTGGGTATACAGATGATCCGTAGTTTTTAAGCATGTGCTCATTGTGCTCTGAGACAGACCGAGACGTATGGGCGGGGGCGGGGGAAATAGAGGGAAGGGAAAAATTGTTGCGATTATCACGAAATTCGAATAGGAAATCAAACAATTTGGTAATTGATTTGAACTGAACATCCTTCAGACCTTACCCTTCCGCGCAATCCTCAGTTCTTCTAGTCAACCACAACTGGTTGGCACAATGGCCACGCACGCTTTCCATGCGACGGGTCCGGTGTTCAAAGCCCGGATAGAGCGGTACATATGCACTAATGAGAGATCGAAACTCGAGTCTGGTGTTTCCCGAGTGTATGGTTGACCAGATGAATTGAAGATTGTGTGAAGGTGAAGTCTGAAGAATGGTCAGTTCAAATCAACATAGATTATCCAACACCACCACTCACAATTAAGCCAAATGTAAATACGGTAACTGATATGAAAGTCAATTTACTGTTTCTCGCTGGTGAAAACTGACTGGATTTACTATTAGATAGGCAAGCACTTTCGCGTGCAGTCCCTTAGTGACACCTTTGTCTCATTTCTAGCGTTTTATTGGTCTGGAGTTTCACTGGTTGATAAGGTTTCAACGGTAATAATTTTTTACTTTTTATTTATTGAACCTGCACCAACATTTTGTAGTGAAGATAGTCAAGCGATCCAAGTACCTCCAGGGACTGATCGTAGCTGGAGGCGGTGTTGAAGAAGAGATCACATTACGATTAATGAAAAAAAAACAGTGATTTTCATCGACCTGCAACACCTAAGACGCTACTATGAGATCCGATTTGAAGGAAGGGTGTATATCGCCGCGAGTCTCAGTTTTACTTTCCGTCTGCAAGGCATGGGATCTCCGCGCTGAGGATGTTAATGGACGATCTGTATTCCATTATCGATGATTCGGAAGCACATCACACATTTGGTGGAAACATCCAGTGAGAAAGCACGAGGATCGTCGTCCTGCTGAGTGCTGACAGTCATTCTCTGAAAGAGGAAATTGTCCCATCGCCTCCCACGGCTCGGTTATGCGTACGCCTGCGCATAATTGAACCCCTCCGTGATCAATACACAGAAGTGGGGGTAATCGGTAAGACCTGAAAAGACCAGGAATTGAGGTAAGTATTATTATATTTATGTCCACATGCGTTGGAGTCCAAACTGTATGCCAAATATTTTTTTATGGTAATGAAATCGGTCCACGATTTGCTTGTGCCCGGAATACTGCCACCTGCTCAAGCCGAAGTGGGTGACTTTTCTTGAGGAATCCAGGTATGGTGTGCTTTGCGCAGTCCAAATGCAAACTGCTCGTTCAAAACTGGAGGAGTGTGTGCTTGTACTCACCCTGTGGTGATCAGTTGGAAGTAGTTGAGAGATTTACGAACCTCGGGTGCTTGATCGCACCTGGAGTGTTGGGGAGATCATATTACGAATGGCGAAAGCTGCTCCAGCTTCCGCCAACCTCCGACACCTGTAGCGCCGCGATTACATCCGACTGTCTCTTAAGGGAAGGTTGTACATCGCCGCAGTTCGCAGCGTACTCCTTTACGGTTGCGAGACCTGGACCTCCGCGTTGAGGTTGCTAATCGACTTTCTGTATTCGATCACCGATCTCTCCGAAGCAATGCCCTTCTCTGGGTAGATCTTAGTGAAGGCAGTGACGAGGTTCGTCGTCATGTGCTGGGTGTGGATAGTCGCTCTCTAACAGGAGTAATTAGTGTACACCGTCCCCGGTGGCTTGATCACATACTGCGTATGCCTGCTCATCAATTACCTTTTCGTGCTCTCTTTGCACTTGCGGAGCAAGGCTGGACGAAGCGTAGCGGCAGTCAGACCATGACGGGGTGCAGAGGTATGAAGAAACTGGCCGCAGCTTCGGCTTCGGTTAGCGCCCGAGGGGTCATCATCATCATCGTCCAACGAGATACACAGGAGCGAACTCCACTAATCGCACCCAAGCTGACAATGTACACAAATAGTGACAAAACACAATATGGAGAGGGATTGGGCCTACTTCGAGGGAGGCAAAGAAAGTGAACCTCCATGGCCAGCACACATAGTACACAAGCATTTCAAGCATTCCGCCTGATAAGAACTGACAACAAGAACGCCACTGCTGTC